CGTAATTTGCAGAGAATGTGTTTGGGTCTCTTGTTTCATCAAATAAAATAAAACAAAACAGTATTCCTTTAGTGGTAGGTGATTGCTGAAATATTAAATAGAAATTTAAGACATGAGTCTCACATGGGGAGACAGGGACCAAATCATAATTGCATTGGTTTATTCTGCTCAACTCCCTGAAGAGCCAAGATGCTCCAGTTTGTGACCCAGTTTTTACCACTCTGATTTCATAAAAAGCTGTTTATTTATGTATTTTTATGTGAATATGCTTGGTAATTTATTAAGTACAATATAAATTTAAAACAGTAGACTTATCCAATTGAAATTCTACATTATTCCATAGAATATGTAGAATAGGTACTTCTAGTTTTATACATTATTTTGACATTTCTACCTCATTAAATTTGCGTTTTTTTTTTTTTTGTATAATAGCTCCAAATTCATCTGTATTTGCCCCTCATCCACATTTGCTCTTCAGGTAGCACAGAGGATTCACTGTTGAGTAATTTAGCATGGGTAGGTTTGGCTCATTTTTAATGGTTCTTGGCCATTTTAATCCAAGAAGTGATCCAAGTCAATCACAGTAGCATCTTTTGCAAGCCTTAAATTTAAATTTCTTACAATTTAAAAGGAAAATTGGTTTCTATAAATCTCAATGCCAGAAATATAGAAATGGAAACATTCTTTCTTGTGATGAGAACTTTTAAGATCTACTCTTTTAGCCACTTTCAAATGTGCAATACAGTATTAACTATAGTCACCATGCTGTACATTAGATCCCCATGACATTTTATTGCTGGAAATTTGTACCTTTTGACTCCCTTACCCACCTCCCACTCCTCCGCCTCTGGTAACCACCAGGCTGTTCTCTGTATCTATGAGCTTGATTTTTGTTTTTATTTAAGGATTCCACATATAAGTGAAATCATATGCAGTATGTGTCTTTCTCTGTCTGACGTATTTCACTTAGTATAATGAATGCCCTTGAGGTCAATGCATGTTATCACAAATGGGAAGATTTCAAACTTTTTTATGGCTGAATAATATTCCACTGTGCATATGTATACCACAACATTTTTACCCATTCACCCGTCAACGGACACTTAGGTTGGTTCCATGTCTTTGCTATTATAAATAATGCTGAATGAACATGGGGGTGCACATGTATTTTTGAATTAGTGTTTTTGTTTTCTTCAGATAAATACCCAGAAGTGAAATTACAGGAACATAGTGGTAGTTTTATTTTTAATTTTTTGAGGACCCTCCATACCTTTTTCTGTAGTGGTTGTACCGACTTACATTCCCACCAGCAGTTCACAAGGGGTCCCTTTTCTCCACACCCTCCCCAACATTTGTTATTTATAGACTTTTTGATGATACAGCTATTCTGACAGGTGTGAGGTGATATCTCATTGTGGTTTGGATTTGCATTTCCCTGATGATTAGTGATATTGAGCATCTTTTCATGTATCCGTTGGCCATCTGTCTTCTTTGGAAAAATGTCTATTCAGATCCTCTGCCCATTTTTTAATTGTTTTTGACAGTTGAGTTGTATAAGTTTTTAATATATTTTGGATATTAGCCCCTTATCAGATATGATTTGCAAATATTTTCTCCCATTCTGTAGGTTGCCTTTTCATTTTGTTGATGGTTTTCTTTGCTGTGCAGAAGCTTTTTAGTTTGACGCAGTCCCACTTATTTTTACTTTTGTTATCACCTATAGTTTCTTCTAGGAGTTTCGTGGTTTCAGGTCTTAACATTCAAGATTTAGTCCGTTTTGAGTAATAATTTTTGTAAGCGGTATAAGATAATGGTCCAGCTTCATTCTTTTGCTTGTGCCAGTCCAATTTTCCCAACATCATTTCATGAGGAGACCGTCCTTTCCCCATTGTATACGCTTGGCTCCTTTGTTGTAAATTAATTGACCAGGGACTTCCCTGGTGGTGCAGTGGTTAAGAATCCGCCTGCCAATGCAGGAGACACAGGTTTGAGCCCTGGTCCGGGATGATCCCACATGCCGCGGAGCAACTAAGCCTGTGTGCCACAACCACTGAGCCTGTACTCTAGAGCCCACGCACCTAGAGCCTGTGCTCCGCAACAAGAAAAGCCACTGCAATGAGAAGCCCACACACTGTAATAAAAGTAGCCCCTGCTCACCACAAATGCACAGCAACAAAGAAAGCCATGCACAGCAACAAAGACCCAATGCAGCCAAAAATAAATTTATAAAAAAAAAAATTAATTGACCATATATACATGGGCTTATTTCTGGGCTCTCTATTCTCTTCTATTGATCTATGTCATCTGTTTTTATGCCAATACCATACTGTTTTAATAACTATAGGTTTGTAATATAGTTTGAAATTAGGGAGCATGATGGCTCCGGGTTTGTTCTTCTGTTTTAGTATTGCTTTGCAATTCAGGGTCTTTTGTGGTTCCATACAAATTTTGGGATTTTTTTCTATTTCTGTTAAAAATGCCATTGGAATTTTGAAAGGGATTGTATTGAAACTGAAGATGGCTGTGGGTAGTATGAACATTTTAACAATATCAATTCTTTTAATCCTTGAGCAGGGAATACCTTTCCATTTATTTGTCTTCTTCAATTTCTTTCCTCAGTGTCTTACAGTTTTCAGTGTACAGGTCTTTCATCTTCTGGGTTAAATTTGTTACTAAGTATTTTATTCTTTTTGATGGGATTGTTTTAATTTCTCTTTCTGATACTACATTGTTAGTGTATAGAAATGCAACAGATTTTTGTGTATTGATTTTGTATCCTGCAACTTTACTGAATTCATTTATTAGTTCTAACAGTTTTTTGGTGGAGTCTTTAGAATTTTCTATATATAAAAAACCATGTCATCTGCAAATAGTGAGTTTTACTTCTTCCTTTCCAATTTAAATTGTTTTAAAATCTATTTGTCTTATATAAGTATAGCTTCCCCTGCATTCTTTCAGTTCCATTTGCATGGAATATCTTTTTCTATCCCTTCATGTTTAGTCTGTGTGTGTCCTTACACCTGACTTAATCTCTCATAGGCAGCAATACAGAAGGGTCTTGCTTTTTTTTTTTTTTAATCCATTCAGCCACTTTATGTATTTTGACTGGAAAATTTAGTTCATTTACATTAAAGTAATTATTGATAGGTATGTACTTACTGCCATTTTGTTAATTGTTTTCTGGCTGTTTTGTAGTTCCTCTGTTCTTTTCTTCTTCTCTTGCTTTCTTATTTTGTGGTTACCACGAGGCTTATGTACAAGAACTTAATTTTTAAAAAAAATTTTTTTTTTAGCTGCATTGGGTCTTCGTTGCTGCACGTGGGCTTTCTCTCTAGTTGTGGCAAGCGGGGGCTACTCTTCGTTGCAGTGCATGGGCTTCTCATTGTGGTGGCTTCTCTTTGTTGTGGAGCATGGGCTCTAGGCACATGGGCTTAGCTGCTCCGTGGCATGTGGGATCTTCCTGGACCAGGGCTTGAACCCATGTCCCCTGCATTGGCAGGAGGATTCTTAACCACTGTGCCACCAGGGAAGTCCCAAGAACTTAAGTTTGAATGCATTTGAAAGTTCTAAATTTTTACTCTATTTCCCTGTTTTATATGTTACATTTTACACCTTTTTATTGTTGTGTATCCCTTAACTAAATATTGTAGTTATAGTTATTTTTACTATATTTGTTGTACAATCTTCATACTAGCTTTATAAATGATTAAGCCACTATGTTTAGTATATATTTACCTTTACTAGTGACATTTGTACTTGCATGTGTTTTCTTTCTACTTACAGCACACTTTCTTTTGGCTTAAAGAAGTCCCTTTAACATTTGTCATAAGGCAGTTTAGTAATGATAAACTCTTTTAGCTTTTGCTTGTCTGGAAAATTCTCTTTTTCAGTTCTGAAGGATAACTTAGCTGAGTAGAGTATTCTTGCTTGGAAGTCTTTTTTCTTTTAGCACTTTGAATATATTATGCCATTCCTTTCTAGTCTTCAAAGTTTCTCCTCAAAAATCTGCTTATAGTCTTTTGGGGGTTCTCTTGTACATAACAAGTTGTTAATCTCTTGATGCTTTTATGACTCTTGTCCTTAACTTTTCACATTTTAATTATATGTCTTGATGTGGGTTTCTTTGGGTTTCTCTTATTTGGAACTCCCTGGGCTTTCTGGATCTGTTTTCTTCCCCAGATTAAGGAAGTTTTCAGCCATTATTTCTTAAAATACATTTTCTGCCCCTTTCTCTCTCTCTTCCCCTGCTGGGACTCCTTATAATGCAAATGTTAGTACACTTGATGTTGTCCCCATGAGTCCCTTAAGCCATCTTCACTTTTTGTCATTTTTTTCTTTTTGCTCCTCTGATTTTCTATGATCCTTTCTTCTTCTTCATCTAGTCTGCTGTTGCATTCCTCTAGTGTATTTTTCAGTTCAATTATTTTATTCTTCAGCTCTGTGACTTCTATTTGGTACTTATATGTTCTATCTCTTGGTTGAACTTCTCACTTTGTTCATCCATACCCTCCTGAGTTTGGTGAGCGTATTTATGAGCATGACTTTGAACTCCTTATCAGGGAAATAACATCTCCATTTCATTAAGGTTTTTTTCTCTGAGGTTTATCTTGTTCTTTCATTTGAAACATTTTCCTCATTTTGCTTGAATCTGTTGGTTTCTATGCATTAGATGAAAGAGCCACCTCTCCCAGTCTTGAAGTAGTGCTCTTGCATAGGAGATGAACCTTATCATTCAACCTTGCCTTAGCTCTTAGTTGTCTCCCAAACCTTTGTGATTGTCCAAGCAGCCTATTCTATTTTTTATTTATTTTTGGCTGTGTTGGGTCTTCGTTGCTGCGTGCAGGCTTTCTCTAGTTGCAGAGAGCAGTGGCTTCTCTTGTTGCAGAACACAGGCTCTAGGGCGTGCGGGCTTCAATAGTTGTGGCACACGGGCTCAATAGTTGTGGCGCACAGGCTTAGTTGCCCTGTGGCATGTGGGATCTTCCCGGACTAGGGCTCGAACCCATGTCCCCTGCATTGGCAGGCGGATTCTTAACCACTGTGCCACCAGGGAAGTCCAAGCCTATTTTATTTTTAATAGCCCTCATAGTTGAGGATGTGTGAAGACCTGTCAGTGTCTCAAACACGAGGATCTCAGGCAGCACCTAGATTCAGGCTAATTGAAAATCATTCCCTTAGGCAGCAGCTTTTAAATTATGCAGATATATACAGTGGGAATGCAAGTGTAAGCCCAGCTGGCCACCAGAGACAGATGATCTGGAGGTGTCCCCTGGGTGACAGTCACAAAAATCAGGGCTTTGGATGAGTTTATAAGCTCCTTTCTGGGAGATACTGATGAGCTGTGGTGAAGCAAAGGGAGAGTGCAAAGATAGCATTCCCTGGCCTGTGTCCCCTGAGAGCACCTGCATACGTCCCTAGATGTGTGCCAAACCTGAAAGCTGCCCCTGAGGCCAAAGCTCCAGGACAAGCAAATAGGCCTCTTTCATAGAAAGACTGGGGTGTGTTTCAGTCTCCTGTTTGTGCAGTGCCCTGCCTGGTGGTGGTACCTTGCAGAGAACTATCTCTTGATTGTTACAGTCCTGTGAGACTCAGGAACACCAGCTCCCCTGACCACCAGAGTCAGGCAGTCAAGGGGCATCCCCTGGGTGGCAGATGCAAAAACTGGGGCACCAGCCATGTGTAAGAGCTCCCCTCTGAGGTGTCCGGAAGGGTTTACAGTCAGCCCTTAGATGTGTGTTTAATTAGAAGCCTGCCATGATAAAATTATAGGCCCATTTCACAGAGAGATTGAGCTCCTTGGTCTGTTACTTCTTGCTGTGCCCTGAGGGTGTTAGCTGTTTAAGACCTCTTTCTCTATTGTTTACAGTCCTTTGGGACCTGCAAACATAAGCCCCTCTGGCCACCAGAACTAGGTAATGTAGAGGTGTCTCCTGAGAGCAGTTGCAAAAATTGGGGCACCAGCCGAAGTTCTGGGAGATACTGGCAAGCTAGAGCAAGGCAGAGAGAGAATGCAAAGATTGCATCCATCAGCCTCCGTTGGCCTCTGTTCCCTGAGAACACTTCCATAGGCTCCTAGAAGTGTGCCAGAGCAGATTCCTGCCCCTCAGGCCAAAGCTCCTGGACAAGCAAATTGGGCTCTTTCTTGGAAAGACTGGGGTGTGTTTCAGTCTGCTGTCTGTCCAGTGCCCTGGGGGGTGGTAGCCTGCCAAGAACTGTCTCTCGAATGTTATAGCTCCAGGGGACCCAGAAGCACCAGTCCCCTGGCCTCCAGAGCCAAGCAATCAAGGGGTACCCCCTGGTGGCAGCCACAAAACCCAGAACATGAGACGTGGGTAAAAGCTTCCCTCCAGGAGACACTGGTGCTCTGAAGCGCAGTAGAGGAAGAGCTCAAAAATGGGGCCCACCAGCTTCTGTCCCCAGATAGTATCCCAGCAGGCCCCTGCCTCTCTGGCCAACTTTTTAAGATTAGGAAATGAATTTTCTTCACTTAAAACCTGGGCACCTTTCAAACAGCTGCCTCTGTGCTGGGCCTTGGGGTGAGTGAGTGCTCACGAGCTCTTTAAGAGCCATTCTCCTTTCACCACAGCACGTTGGGTCTCATGGATGCAAGCCCATTGACTTTCAAAGCCAGATGCCTTGAGGGCTCAACTCTCAGGTGCAGGTCTTAAAAGCTGAGGTGCCTTACGTGGTGTACAAACTCTTGGCTACTCAGGGAGAAGCTCCGGGTTTGTGAGTTTCCTCCTGATGGTGGGTAGCTGCACTGGGGGTGGGGTTTATGGTGAGATTCTCAGCATCTCCTATCCACTTGAATATAGCCTTTTTCTCATTTGCCCCACGTGAAGGAGGTGCTCAGCTAGTTTTCAGGGGGTGTTTTTTGTGTTTTTTTTTACCGGAAATTGTTCCATATGTAGCTGTAGAGTCGGTGTGTCCATGGGAAGAGGTGAGTTCACGATCGTCCTAGGTCACCATCTTGAACTGCCTCACAGATGTAAAACCTCAGGCACCAGATGTGTGTGAAAGCTCCTTTCGGGGAGATACTGGTGCTCTGGAACATGGCAGAGGGAGAGCATGAAGATGGTACCAAATGGCTGGACTGAGGCAGTCGGGGAGAGATGGTTCCTGCCAGAAAAGAAAAAAAAGATGGTGGTTGCCAGTCTCTGTCCCTGAAGAGTACCCAGGTAGGCCCCTGAATATGTTTCACATCAGATGCCTTCCCCTCATGACAAGCAAATGATCCTTTCCCACACAAAATCGGGTTGCCCCTGGATCAGCTGCATCCATGCTGGGCCCTGGGGAGGGTGAGTCTGAACACACAAGTTGGTGTCTGAAGCTAGATGTTTTGAGACAAATAGACTAATAGAACAGAATTGAGAGCCCAGAAATAAATCCAAGCATATATGGTAAATTAATATTTGACCAGGGAGCCGAGAATACTCAATGAGAAAAGATAGTCTTTTCAATAAATGGTGCTAGGAAAACTGGATAGTCACATGCAAAAGAATGAAACTTGACCCCTATGTTACACCAGTCACAAAAAATAACTTGAAATGGATTGTAAGACCTGAAACCATGAAACTTCTAGAAGAAAACATTTTTTAGAAAGTTCTTTGACATGGGTCTTGGTAATGAGTTCTTAAAAATCACACCTAAAACACAACAACAAAATTAAAAATAAACAAGTGGGACTGTATCAAGCCAAAAAGCTTCTGCATAGCAAAAAAAAAAAAAACATTAACAAAGTGAAAAGACAATCTACAGAATGGGAAAAAATATTTGCAAACCATATATCTGATAAGGGGCTAATATCCAACATATATAAAGAACTCATACAATACAATAACAAAAAAAAATAAAAATGGGCAAGGGACCTGAATAGACATTTTTCCAAAGATATACGAATAGCCAACAGATCCATGAAAAGATGCTCAATAACCCTAGTCACTAGGGAAATGCAAATTAAAACCACAATGAGATAGCACCTCATGCTTGTTAGAGTGGCTATCATCAAAAAGATAACAAATGCTGGTATGGATGCAGAGGAAAGGGAACCCTTGTACACTGTTGGTGAGAATGTAAATTGGTACAGCCACTATGGAGAACAGTATGGAGAGGCCTTAAAAAAATTAAATATAGAACTACCATATGATCCAGCAATTACACTTCTGGGAATTTATCCAAGGGAAACAAAAAGACTAACTCCAAAAGATATCTGCACCCCCATGTTCATAGCAGCATTATTTACAATAACCAAGACATGGAAACAATCTAAGTGTCCACTGATGGATGAATGGATAAAGAAGTGGTATACAATGAAATATTATTCAGCCATAAAAAAACAAGGAAATCCTGCCATTTACAACAACATGAATGGCCCCTGAAGGTGTTATGTTAGTGAAATAAGTCAGAGAAAAACAAACACTGTATGATTTCACTTATATGTGGAATTGGAAAAAAAAAAAAAAAGCAAAAATAAAAGCCCAAACTCACAGAAAAAGAGAAAAAAAATTTTTCTTTTATCTATACAAGATGATGGATATTAGCTAAACCTACTGTGGTAATCATTTCACTATATGTGTACATCAAACCATCATGCTGTATACCTTAAACCTGTATGTCAATTATTTCTCAAAACTAGAAAAAGAAAAAAATCTTGACGTTTTGGGGGCTCATCTCTCCAGGTGCAATTCTTAAAAGTTGGGGAAGCCTGATTTGGGGTTCAAACCCTCACTGCTCAGAGAGAAGTCCCTCCTGATTGTGGGTTCTCAGGCTAGGGGTGGGGTTTATGGTGTGGTTGTGTCCCTGCCTCTCTTACCTGCTTCGATGTGGGCCTTCTCACGATGGCCAGTGTGTAGACTCATTCAGCCAATTTTTAGGTTATTTTCAGAGGTAGCTGTTCCATAGGTAGCTGTAGATCCAGCATGTTGGTGGGAAGAGATGTGTTTGGGATCCTTATATGTCACCATCTTCAAAGCTTTTTAGTTTTTTAAAGCTGGTGGTAAACCCTTCCACATTCCAGGTCATTTTGAAATTAAAACAGAAAAAGCAAAAACCCCGGTTAGTTTGCATAATAACAACACCTCCCCACCACTGAAAAAAAAAGTATCTTTTGAAACGGGGGAACCAGTAAGTCAGATTTCTTGCCTTAAAAACAATCCCAATCCAAAATGTAGGGAGACAAGTTTCATCACAGTTGAAACATTAAAGCAAAGCTTCTAAGTACTGTTAACACTGAGGGGAAAGGCAAGATAGGCCAGGTGCCTTTTGTTTCCCAAATAGAAAGCCTTTCCTGCTGGGAAGAAGCCACTGAAGTACAAAGAGAAAAAGAGAGCAGCCATGGAGTTGGGAAGGTGGAAAGGAGGGAAAGAGGGAAAGAGGGAGGGAGGGAGGGAGGGAGAAAGGGAGGAAGGGAGGAAGGAAGGAAGGGAGGAAGGAAGGAAGGGAAGAAGGAAGGAAGGAAGGAAGGAAGGAAACTGGGTTTACTGGTTCATTCAGTCAAGGCTGAAATAAAGGCAGCTTAATCTGGATCTTTAAATCACCACAACACTTTTGCCAGAAATGTGTATTTGAACTCCAAACTTTATAGATTTCAATAATGTTTGATCTGTCACTTTTTCAGGCATCAATAAATTTACAAAAAAGCTGCGGAGTCCATATGCAATTGATAATAATGAACTACTTGACTTCCTTTCCAGAGTCCCTTCAGATGTGCAAGTGGTATGTAGGTTTCATTATTATAACTACAGGCATAGCTCATTTTATCGTGCTTCACTGATATTTCTTTTTATTTTTCTTTACACGTTGAAGGTTTGTGGCAACCCCGCATTGAGCAAGTCTATTGGAACAATTTTTCTGACAGCATTTGCTCACTCTGGGTCTCTGTGTCACATTTTGGTAATTCTTGAAACGTTCTGAACTTTTTCATTATTATTATATTTGTTATGGTGGCCTATGATCATTGATCATTCATGTTACTATTGTAAAAAGATTAATACTTGCTGAAGGCTCAGATGATGTTTAGCATTTTTTAGCAATAAAGCACTTTTAAATTAAGGTATTACTGTTTTAGATATAATGCTATTGCACACTTAATAGACTTCAGTATACCATAAACAGAACTTTCATATGCACTGGGAAACCAAAATATTCATGTGACTTGAAACATTTGCTTCACTGCAGTGGCCTGGAAACAAACATGCAATATCTCTAAGGTATGCCTGTATCATTTTAATGTAGTGTGGCATTAGGTTTTAACTTTTATATCCATTTAATTTTGAAGGATTTAAAAGAGCTAAGTAAAGCTAATAAAGCCTGTAGAAGATTTTGCCATTCAGGAATTAGCCCAGTTGGGGTGTTATCCAAGAAGAACTAACAGAGAAGATTGGGGAATGAGAGGGCATTGCATAGAGAACCTACCAGGGTGTCAATCCTCCCCCAAGGTTCAGCTGGAGTTTGTGAAGGGAAGTCACCATCACCTGAAGGAGGAATTAGGAATATTAGATGGTGAAAGCAAAGTATGCCAGCAGATATTGAGAAAAACACTTCCTTAAATAAACTGCATGAATTAAGTGAGTTTTAAAGATGTCTGTTTTAGAGATCAGTGAAGGGGGAAAGAGTAACTGATTTTTGAGAACCGGGGCATATCTCAATCCTTTGAAAGCCTTGGAGGTTAATTAATGCCCATTGATCATTAAATATTTTCAGAGTAAAATGAGAAATGTTTTTATCAAACTATTAAAGCTGGGTTGCAGCAATACCTTTTTCCTTTGTTTCAGCTGAGTTTTTGATTTGGTATCAGACATGAGAGTGGGCTGGATGGAGATGAAGCTTATATTAAACAAGCACACAATAAATAATTATAGAGAACCATTATTCGGCCCTTCAAAATAGATGGAGATGGTTCTGCTTTTAATGTTACTTGGGTATAGGCAATAGAGACCTCAGCCTGTTACCAAAGTTCACATCAGGGCTCTCATGTAGATTCTGGCAAGATTTCCCTTTTCTGCATCCCAGCTGCATACAGCTTCCAGAGCGAGCACTTTCTTTTTCCCCAAGCATAGTCTCCTCTCAATTCCTTTGCTTTTCCTTCCTTTGCCAGAAAGTGGCCACCTGACCAGCCTTTCTCTGAACTCTGTTTAAACAGGTGCAATACCAAGAACTGAAACCAGATCCTTCCCATAGCCCATGTAAAAGGAAGAAAAACAATCTTGGCTAGCCAGCTCCCAGCACTGAGGAGACCAGCATCTGTTTGGGAAGATAAAAGGAAAAGCCTTCAGCCTGAGCTGCATTTCCTTTCTTTCTGTTTTTTATTTATTTTGCCATTTTACCATGATTGAGAGAATTTGTAAATAGTGTACAAAGGCATATGTCTTTGAAAATATACTTCCATTGTACAGAATCAATTTGATAAAGGTTTAGCTATTGCTGCGTGAAAGCCTTGTTAGCTGTGGAAAATAATATAACACATTGGAACAACAAATGTAAGAATGGTAACATTGGGAGATACACATTTCTCTAATTACAAGTGTAAGAACTAGAATATTAAATGCTCAGCTGTGCTCTGATTAAATCTACATAAAATGTAAATGTCAATTTGATTTTAAAGTTTTTTTTTAATGTGACTATTTTTTATCTAAAAAGTAATCCGTTACGGTTTTCTATGTTTTATACATTTCAAAAGGGAGGAGGGATCCCAGAACCTAAATAATGGAACAGATGCATTACAACTTAACATAGATTCGGATCCTGATATTCATTCCTGTGCAAATTATTTAGATATGACTAGGCTGACTTTAAGCTAATGAGTGAAGGTATATTCACCTCCTCAAGAGAATCTTCCACACACTGAAATCCTACAAAGAAAATTTCCGAATCTTCTATCATTCCATCTAAAACCTTAAAATCTCTACAGGACTACACAAAAAATACTGCCAGGTTTATAAATGATGATTGCCTATAAGGATTTTTATACCAATCACTATTTGTGCCAAATTAGCAAATTAGCAACCCAGTTCAGTTGTCAAAAATCTAGCAAATTAAATCCATATTGCTTTTGGTGTCAGATTATGCCTCTGTGCATCTAAAAATATTTAATACTCAAGTGTTCTCACAGAAAAAAAAATGTATCTACTTTCTTATTAGGTTACTGAACTGCTTTAATATGCATATTATGATTTTTGTTATTAGTGTGAATTTTAACATAGAGGAGAATGCAGTGTGCTAAGTGATATGCCAGTGTTTCATTACATTCATTTATAGAAAAAAAATCATTCTTGAAAATATGAATGCATGAAAACCTATTTTGTAAAATAAACTGCTTATGGGGAGGGGGTTTGCCTTTGAAAATGTTTCACTACTTCTCATAGAATCTATACTTAAAAATTGCATTCCCGACTCTCATGTAGTTTTTGTACCTAACTTCCTGGTATATCAAGGGAGTATACCTCTAGAGAGAGAGAATCTGGTGAGAATGTCTTACTTCCCTGACTTGGTAGGGGACTAAGCTTGGTTGAAATTGCTGCAGTGTTTTGCACTACTTTATTAACAATGGACTGGGATAGGGTGAAGGTGGGGGGTCATGCTGGAAAAATGTAGAAAAGCCAGAAGTGAGAAATATATATTTCACTCTATAGGAAGATTCTTTAAAAATAAATTTAATCTCATCAAAGTTGATTTTTAAAGTATTTTTATTTTAAAGCTATGTTGTTAAATACTGTTTCTTATGATAAAACTATTTTGATCTGTTTATACACTATGCTTGAAAGAATGTCAATTAAATTCCCTTTCTACAGAAAGGCTTTGACCTCAATATGCTCTATTTAGCGCATCATGTTTATAATGACATGCTTACATCCGCATACCATCATCGTTTAAGACAGACGTAATACTTCATGAAGTTGATGTTGCTACAGGAAGTTTACTGATGGAATAATTTGTTTGAAATAACTTTTGATTATACTTTGTGTGAGATTTGTGTTCTGTGCTGACATTGTCTACTCAAATGTCTACAAGCCTGATATTCTAACACCTCCGATGTACCTAGTGGATAGCAACCATTAACAGATGACTAATTTCTGTTTCATGCTATCAAATTTCAGATGTTTAGTTCAATGGTAAGGTTGACTATTCACTGCATTAAATAAAAAAATAAGCTTTTCTAAAAATAATCAGTACTTTTTTTTGGTCTCATATAAATAATATTTTACTTAAAGAAACCCAGGTTTGGTTTGGAAGAAAAAAGGCTTTCCCTGAAACCTTGCGTGCTGTATAAAATGCAGCACCTTGCAGGGGTGAGTATCCAGTGACACTCCTAGAGAAGAACGAACTATCTTGAGGCATGAAAGTGATATTCAGGGGAAGCTTCATTGCTTTTACAAACTACTGCACTCACAGACTGAAAACAAGAGACTGTGAATAATAGAACTTTAACCAGTTCTTTCTCCTTTTCACGAAGGCAAGATTTTGCCTTTTGAAAGCTGCTTAACTTGACTTGTTTCTGAGAGGTTTGTAAACACATAAATATTTTAAGATATCTTAAGAGACCGGATGTCACTCTAACACCTATTTGGACTGCTATATACAGTAGTCATATGAACTATGAAATATATTCCTCAATATCCTTTAGTGAGTAAATTCACTGAAGGTCATTCATTATCCAAACTACTATTATTGCCACTAATTGTGGTAATTTATAAGAAATGCATATTTAAAACTATTTCCATTTATAAAAAGAACATGGTACTTCTTGTTTATTTTGGTACTGGTTCCACAGACTCAAATTGATAGGTGCTGTCAGGATTCCAAATTAATTTTGAATCCTTTTATACACTAGGATAATCTGAATCGAAAGATTCTTTAAGTGACTTTGCTCTGTGTTATATTTATTGAGTACCAACTATACGACTTGCCCTGTCATAGGCAATGGTCAAACCAATGATAGCATATTAAAATCAAATCTGGAGTTAAAGTATAGTAAGAGCAAATTTTAATTGATATGTTTCTGAAAGTATCTTTTATAGAATTTTATTGTGTTATTTAGAAGTGAAGAAAAATTTAGTAGTAAGTTCTCTTATCCAGGGACCATATTCCCATTTTGATCTCAATATCCAAATGTCTCTAATGCTGAAAGGAATCTACTTCTGTATTAACAGGTCTTATTCAAAGGCTTTAATTTCAGTTTATACACTAGTTAAATATACCTAAATGTTTATTTTTGAGTTTTGTAATCAGCATTAAAAACAAATCAAAATATAAAAGGCAGTTGCTATTCCAGAAATGCAAGTAAAGAGAGCCACCATTATACTTCTTGCAAAAGCCTGTTTATTATTAAATTAATGCTTAAATTCTGGGGCTTTAAATGTCAAGCGTGAGTGTGTGTGTGTATTTGTGTACAGATGCCTATTCATTTGTTTGATTAGTGTGTCTAGAATCAGCCTTTTCTAATTGCTTGGTCAAGTATGAATTAAAACCACATAAAAAATAATGAAAAGAATACTTACAATAGTGTCATTCCTTTGGATTATAATTCTCCTTCCCAGGATGACTGGTGTAACTCACTGAAAGAAAAAAATATAAAACATCCTTTTTTTCTGGTGAAACTGTTACCTCTTCTGCCTCAGTTTCTACATTTGTACAGTGGCAGTCACATCATGACTTATTCCAGCTGAATCGCTGATTTAAGAAATACCAAGGAAAATTTCTCATCATGTAAGAATACTATGCAGATAAAAACCATTAAATGTCCAAAATGGTCATATGCTATAGAAACTAACAACACTGTGAAAGGTTTGCTGGAATTTAATGTTTCTATCTGTGCTTTTCCAAAGGGATCTGGGGTTAAGAACCAAAAACCAAAAAAGGTCAGGGGAGATGAATCAAATAATTCAAATTGGTTTCAAATGAGTTTCAGTTTATTGGGCTATTTCTTCGCATTCTGAACTGGTAACAACAAAAAAAGTGTTCTGTTGCATGCACAAGCAGTATTTTTGTAGACAGGTTTTTTTTTTTTTTTTTAATGTATATGATGGTTTTTGTCTCCAAACGTCACTGAAAAATTATTATGACTCCATTTTAAAAAAAGGTAACGAAATGGCACTGCTCTTCTGCTCTACTCAATTAATGGTGTTACTAGATTAAGCTGAAAGCTCTATTTGTATTAAGAAAAACAGAAATAGGTAAGTAGCTCTGCCAAAGTTTTTTCAGTTTGTAGCAAAAATAAAATTGCAACGTAATTCTCCCCTGCTGTAGATTCTTCAATGGTCTTTCAAAAAGAGAAAAGGAATGACCAACCTGAGAGTCAATGAGCGAACCTACAAACCACCTCTCATTTTCTCGGGAATAAATAAATGCATCTGAGGAGACCTGGCTGAGTGAGGTTGTTACTGCTACTAGTGAGGCAAGATGGTAATATAGGCTTAGTTCCCCATTTTGGTCAAAGACAAGCTTCAAAATGACATGAGTCAACATGAGGCATTTTATCTTGCCAGAGTTCAAATGGTAAGTTAGGAAATGCTAACTGCATAGAGAAAGGTGCGCCCCTGGCCCCAACCACTTTTAATTGTCTCTTGATGACTGAAGACACATCTGAGACAACAGTCAAGAGTAATTACAAAGACAGCTGGACAACAGCAGAGAGGTGAGGGGGAAGGAAATGCCAAGATCTGTCCCAAGTTCAGAGATGTTCTTTTAATAAAGCTACTCAGAATACTGGAAACCTTAAAACGAAACTCTACATTATTTCCGCAAAACATTTTTCCTACAGTATTGATTATAACAATTACAAGTCAAAATCTGTGTATAACTTGTAATATTGAAACCATGGAAAACAATTTATTGATGTCAAGAACTAATAAACTCTGCAACCTTACACAATGGTATACCTACCCCTTCCCTTTGTCCTGGAACTCTTACAAAGTTCAGATTTCACTAACACAGAGACCTAGCAAACCATAGGAAGGTCTCTGAAGCACATGGTAACCCACCCAGAAAAGTAAAATACTATGTATGTTTTTAGAAGTAGTTTTAAAACAGATCAATGTAGTATTCGGTCTTATTTGAAGTTGCTGAACATTACCTTTTAAATTTCCCTGTAGGATGAAAAAAAGCATTTTCAGATATAATAGATAAAAACTTTTGGGGGGGATATCATGAAACATCCAGCATTTGATAATTTAACCAAGAATCAGGCATACTAACTCTTATAGGGTGGGTTACCAGGTACACACCATCCATTCTTCTGGCACTATGATGCTAATACAAAGAACACACATGTACTTGGATTTCTCAGTGACTGACAACAACACTGACAAGCAAGTGAGAAATCTACCCAAAAAGACACAGTGATGTGATACTCACCAGTGTACTGTAGTTATGATGTAGGTATCCAGTGTATTTATATAAAACAAATTGTTAAAATATTGTATTTTGAATTGTACTACTTAAAACAGTAACTTACAAGAAGCCATTTTCCTCACCTTCACAGAAGAGGTGCAAAATAATATGCTCTGGACAACAGTGGCAAGACACTTTCGCTCAGAATTCTCTCAGTAGACGACTGACTGCTTACATGTGAATTAATGCTGTAAATAGTAATATTTAGAAGGGAATTTTTTCCAGGTGTATTATAATAAAAGAAAACAATTCTCAATTTAATCACACAGTAGTGAACTCCCTTTAAAGGAATTTAAGATACAGCCTTTGATAAATGTAGTCATCATTTAATCTTACAGTTTCTCCCTGATTTGGGGTGTTGAATCTGGAAAAAAAAAAAAAATCAGAACAAGTAATTCTTCAGGTTCCCTGAAAGCTTCTAAAATCAGAAAAGGCTAATAGTGAAGATATGGTATCATGACTCCACAAGGTGTCTACATGAAGTTTAAACTTTAGCAATTTAGGAATCCTACTAAACAGTAATGACCCCGCCCAATATGGTAGGGAAATGCTTTGAAGAGGCTTAAACAGAAGACAGAAGCAGCATATCAGTAAAATAAGCCAGATTTACTTTCAAAGGAAGGGCATATAGTCCAAGAGTATTATTTGAGATCTGCATTAGATGATACTAGGCTTAATTACATCCTTACCTTGAAGAAAAATGGCATATTTTAAAAATGCACTTTATATTTTAAAAAGTCCAGTAGATGCCAGTTTAAATAAGACAACTTTAGAAAAATTTCAAAACTGATTCTTATTTATATTAGGAGCATTACTTTAAAAAATAAATTGGCTACTGGTGTTATACACAAATATAAATCATGTTGCAGAGAAACTTGGAGAAGTGAAAAACAAATATTCAAAATTCTATCAGAAATACACCACTATTAGCAATGGATTTGCTTACAATCTTTTCCCCTCTGTAATTTTACTTAGATAAAATAATTTTTAATTACATTTAAATAGTTTCTATTTTTTAAAAAGGACTAAAATTAATCCAGGAAAAAGGAATTAAGGGAACAAGTTCAACCACTTTTTATAAATGGCTTTCAACCTCTCTTTAAGTCTATTTCCTCCAATAACATGACTGAGTATGAACTTAAAAGTATTTTGAAAAAAAGAGTAAAAGAACTAAAATCATGGGAAAACAAGAAATGAGAAATCTAGATTTGCATCACTTTTAAGAAAGGACTGAATATCACTAGTCGAAATAGCCTATTTCTGATGATACCATTAAAATTGCTATTTTTATTCTTTATTTTGAGTGAATTTTAACTAAAAGAATCTTCCACCAAACACTTACCTTGACCCTTGGTTTACTGAACATTGTTCAGAATTTTCAAAGACAGTTTGCTCCTGAGATGAGGAGATCTGTCTGCCTTTTTTCTGATTTTATACCTTCACTACCTCCTCAGTATATTAAACAGCATCTAGAAATCTTTACCCTCTTTAAACCACAATGATTCCTAACCATTTTCCCTCATCCCTTTGCCAAGTTTTTATCTTTACAATTCTGCTTTTAAGTTTTCATGGAAAGCTCTTTAAAATGCATATTTTAACACCACATATTACTTACTGCTCTATAATTTTGTCTCTGTTATAAAATAGAAACAATGCAAAGTAGAAAAAAATGCATCTTTAGGATGAAGTCAGATAACCAAGATATATATTCCTTAAAACCAAAACAAAAAGCTATTACAAATCAAACCATTCTGGTCATTAGAAAAATTTATCAGTGTCATGACATAAACCATGGCTGACCTAACCTTTAAGTTGAGAAGTACTGACAACAAACTAAATTCTTTTTATCTGTCACCACTTTAAGATTAATGATTTTTTCAACATGACTATTTCATCTGAGGACAGAAGAATGGAAAATCATTGGAAATTTTAGTTCATCTCTTATTAAGATAAATGATAGTATAATAGGTGTAAATTCAAAGCTGGATTCCAGACTTTCAGTTCAGTGCAATTTACCTGCTGGAAGTGCTAAGCACATTTTTAAAAAATTCCACTCTTTGGTAGAAATAAATCATACATTCCAACGTAGTCATTCTCTATTAATGTTTAACACCCATTATGCATTAATGTTCACTTGATCTAATTTAGATACTTTTGAAAGGAAGAGGATTAGATTTACCAAATCTGGGTTCAACTGTCTGAAAAGATTTGGGGACCACAGTAAAAAGACAAAAATTTGGAGAAAATGTTTCATCTTTAACTGGAGACAGCTCTTTATAGATGCTTGAATAAGGAACTTAATTTTTTTGGTCTGTGTTAAGGGTAATATTACATATTACAAATTAAATATATAAAAATAACATTATATACTTATTAGGAATATTATTTTTATATAACTAATCACTGGTTACACTTTGTTGATTTAATACTGTTGGATCTTAATTCAGCAAGTAGTTTAAAAACAGAATAATTCACTATATTTGTTCTAAAAAGGAAAAAATATATATATATTCAACAGTACAAATACAATATTACAAAAAAAATCAATCACTTGTGTCTAGTGTTAAGGGTTATATTTCAAGATTACAAAAATATATAGTGTAAGTGTATTTCAACTATATGCCTACACCAAAAAACAAACAAAACCCAAACCATATGGTAATGAATTCAAATACATAAAATATTAGAAAATATTTTGTACATCAAATATAAAAACAAAATGTAATTTTGATTAACACAAAAGTACTAATTAGCAAATTCCTCTGTGATAAAAAGCTAATCACTTGGATTTGTGATTGGAAAATGTCCTTTTTAAAATAATTTAATAGAATGTTCCCCACCCCCAGCAATTCACGTAAATTCATGTGTCTAAGAAAGAAAGTTGCTTGGTACTTTCATAAACTGGGAAGCATGAGTTAAAGTATAACATTTTGGATGTTCTCAAAGATTAGCATTTACTTAAGAGAGAAAACTTTTTTGACTGTCTAACAATCAATAATGTTAAAACTATCTTGTTCGTTTCCTCTGAAAAGGTCTTCTTTTATTGCGATTTGCAGTACTCTAAAAGATGTATGCTTAAAACCTAAAAAAACAATACCACAACCTTTTCTAATTAACTTATAGTCTAATAATCTCTGATTCTGTATCAGAGCAAATAACCACCAAAGTACATCATCCTACCATAATTCATCTTAACCTACAAGGTGAATTTTTTGATAACATAATTTGATTTATAAGAAATAGTTAACTATTCCATGTCTTCAGTTTTGACATCACCAGGCACAGCGTAATTCCAAAAATGCCATCACTGACCTTTCTAACTCAATCCACATTTGTTATAAAAACAATTATCATTCTGAATTTTGCAAGCTCCACGTCAGCAAGAGGTGCGACTGGTGTGGAAGCTACGTGATAAACGCCTGAGGGAAAGAGTGCCTCATGTCACTCAAAAATGACCCCTTTCTACTGATTAAGGGGCAACAGTGACAGGCTCTCATCAAGTTCATCACTTAACTGGAAAGGTGTGTAAATGCATATGCATTGCACATTCCATCAAAAATTTTCTCCTGTGAAGGTATTAATTTAACTTTCTGTAACAGAATAAGCAAAAATGGCAAACATTTCCTAGTGTTTATATAAAGGATCCTAGCATTAATGCATTTGTGTTTATCTAGGAATGAGTACTGGGGTTCACTAAGATTGCAAAAGCACACACCACACTCTATTCACTCTAAAACTGCTAGTCACACTGATCAAATGATTAAACTATCAAACCCTTCACATTTAAAATGAAACGAGAACACCAATTATTACTGTAAATTTAAGAAACACCCAAACTGAAATTAATTTTCTTCAACAGCCTATACAGAAGACAATAAAACTAGACTTACCTTCCTAGAATGTAAGATTTTCCTCTTTTACTGTAGTCAGCCCCTATCAAGCATACCACCTGGTACATAATAGGTGTTCAAGAAACGATGAATTCAAAACGCTGATTAATTTAGCATTTAAGTTATATGAGGACAAATGTTTTTCTGGTTATCTTGGACTTAATGAAATGACAAAAATTGTGTATACTTGGACCACTTTATTATGTGTAGGGAAATTAAGAACTAGTAAGCTCGAAAACTTCATAGAGACCCTTCCTAAAAAGCTGCCAGGAAACATTCTAAAATCTTTTATATTCCAAATATTTGTGGGGATTACGCATGGAGAAAGCTGAATCTTAACAGCTCAGAAATCTCCTTCCAAGCTTTATTTTCTATTGTAATAAGGGCTTTCATAGGCCTTTTTTTCTTTTTTTTTTTTTTTTAAAAAAAACAACTCTATTGAACTATGATATGAAATCTGGCAGAGTACAATGATAAATAGCATTACTCAGCCTTCGCTTCTCTTCAGTGGCTGCAACTTTGAGATGCCTACAGCTAAAATGCCAGGGGTCAGAAAGTCTATGAATTTTATCTATTAAAATTTCCCCTTTCTCTACATCTAAAATAAATTTGAGGCAATTATTATGTTTTCTAAAATAAAACATAAGTAATATGGGAAATAAAGTTTCTTATTGCAGGTTTAAATTCATATATATTTATTGGTATTTTTAACTAGGCCACAAAGCAGTAATCTGTTTGCCAAGTTATACTTTTGAAGAAGTACAAACTGCAATGACACCTTCTTGAGGTAGAGACTTCAATGGCATTTGAGTGTTTAATATTTCATGTCAGCATGGCTTGTAGAAATTGGCAGACAGAACAGTTATGAATTATTAATACTAATTGCAACTAAATGAATATTTCTTGCGAACATTTAATTTAGAAAACTACTTTTTCTTAGCAGTTAATTATCTACTTTTTCTTAGCAGTTAATTATCTCATTAACTTAGAATTATTAGCAACTTAAGAAATTACTATCTAAATGATTTGTTATAACTAAAAAGAGGAGTTAAGAATGCAAAAGGAAGTAACATTTATTAAGTGCCATATAAGGTGAATGGCTAATAACTTAATTCTATCATGACCAAGATACCTGGTGTTATTTCCACTTGACAGGTAAGAAAACCAAAGCTAGAAAGAAAACTGCCTTGTAATTCAGTTAGTAAGAAATTACACAAGGATTTGAAACTATGTCTGTCTGATGTCAAAGTCTATGTTTTTATTAGTTTACCAAGCAAATGTTATTCCACATGCCTTCACAAGTGACGTAAAGTGGCTACTCTTTGGAATAAAAATGTTCCTACACATCATCTGGGGAAGCACTTTACTCTCTATGAGCATTATAATGTTCCTTAGTCATGTTTTCTCTGATATTTTGGCAAGTAACAATAAACATCAAAAGAGAGTTGTATGATGTCACATTTGAAGGCTAACTAGAAACAGCTAATACTTCTTACAGTATGTGTAAAAAATTACTGGTTTAAAAATGTAGGAAAAAAACTTGACTTTTATTCAGAGCTGATAAAGTAATGTAGCAATTTTTAGTTTAGACTGTAAACCCAGTAATAAGACTCTCAGCATTTGTATCCTGCTAAAAGATCTATTTCCAAAATAAAATTAAAGTGTGCTTCTTTAGCAGATTAATTGCTGTGAGATCATCACTTAAGTTACATAAAATCGAAATGGAAGTTCTAATGTTTCTTTTCCAGCTGTATCACAATGTAACTTATTCCCACTAGTAAAGCAACTCCAGTTTCAAAAGTAATTATTATCCATATCCTTTCTTTTAGTTTTACTACAAATTACTATTAGGAAAAACTGCAAATTGAAATGTTACTACTCTGTAAATACATACTGTACATTAAGATTTTAGATAATCTCAAATTCTTTACTTTGTTGCCATTTATAATCTTAATATTTAATAAAACATTATGAAGCAAAACGTTTTCACTTACAGAATAGTGGTTACATGGAGTAGAAATACACTTTCTATAGGAACTGCTAAAATAAAATAGATCAAGGGATCAAACTATTAGCACATTTACTGAATTTAAAAACCAAAAGAATATATTATTGTGAATTTTGAAATGTTTATTTTAGAAACACGTAAAACTGAGTATTTTATTCCAACAGCCTACAGAGAAGAAACAGGGAGCTACATGTTTATAGGTGCACATTTGCATGAATATTCTTGCCATGATGCTAAGACCCAGAACACCTAGAAGAGAGGACATTACATTTTGATTTGAAAAAATATTTAAATTAAAAAATTTTACATGTACAATATAAATAAATAATACTTTTAGAACAAAAAATAATAAAGACTAATAAATGCAATGTGTATCAAACAAAACTAGTTTTTACTTTTGAGTTAAATCCTACACACTGGAAAAAGAAGCCTATACTATGCTTTGGATAAGTTCTTTAAGTGCTTTAAAGATTTAGCAAGGCTGCAAATTCTGTCAATAAATAAATGAAATTATTTATTGTTTATAAGCTATGAAGTCCATAATAAATGACAAAGCAAGCTGAGCAGGTTTAGAAAGCTGACCCATATTTTCTGTTATCATCATGAAAACTCAGTGACCGACCGACACATCATTTCCAATGTCACCAGTAAGGCCTCAGTGTGTACTCCAGGACACGCTTTTAAATTCTCAGGGAGTTCCTTAAGAATATTTGGGAGTTTCTGCAATGTCTTTATATTTCTAGCATAAAGATCCAATAACCAGTCAGTACGAGCACTAGTGGTTTCCTTATAATTCTGACAAACTATAAGCAGGTCATTTAGATGAGTTAATCCTCTGAAAGCTAAGAAGAGCTCTGAAGACAAACCAAAAACTGAACAAAAATTTAGCAACATCCTACTAAGTAAAAATGAGCCAAATTCAAGTTGCTGGTGGTAAAAATGTTTCTCTGCTTGTGCATGAAAGTTCTCCACTGTATCTTCTATTTTTGTGATAGCAAATAGTTCTTCCTTGACTTGAGATGATACCACATAATCCAAGGGCAATTCCCCCTTAGAGTTCCTCTGCTGCAGAAGCACTGGGCCTGTGAAAAAGAACATGCAAAACGTTAAGAGTTAAACATTCTTATTTTGGCAGTGTAACAGCCATTTTCTCTCTCCTTTTTTCCCCAAAGCATCCAGGGCTCAGTTTACAGTCATATTTTGTAGTAATTCATATTGACATAATTAACTGGTTCTGTATACTAACTAATAAAGGTGCATTAGAAAAAAATAATCTAGTCAATTGCCTAATCAGGTTTGCCTAAAAGCACATGCCTTAGTTCAATAAATAACATATATGGTTATAAATTAAAAAAAAAAACTTTGATAAAACTTTATAAGTTGTCAT